TTCATGCGCCCAAATAGGCGGTACTTTCGATAAGGAAGGCGGCAGTGGCTTCCTGAGACACAGACTGTGCCCTTCATTGAGGACACCCACTCCAGGGTGTGAGCTTCAATCGTGGAAGTTATCGCAGAAGTTTAAAGGGGAAGCCAGGCGGGAGGGAGATCTGACTGTGAGATGGTCCCTATGGCTGGGTGCAGAAGGCCGGCCGGAGAGGCCGCGCTGGAGACGATGACCCGGTCAGCAGGCAGCAGCGAGAATTGGGCTGATGCTGCAGGAACAGGAATATGCAGAAGAGTCACCACATACACGTCCCACATTTAAGCAGATCAAAGGAGCCTTTCGTTATGAGGCGTATCATTATTTTATGTATCCCCAGTAAAGCCTGCTGCTAATTATTGTCAAATGAAAAATGAGGTTTCCATGGTGAATCGAAATTGTATTATAAAACTTACCTTCTTCAAGAGAAGAAGATAGTAAAAACTAGGAGAAAATCACCAGCAGGAAACTGAAGCAAAAAGGAACTTACTACGAGCAGCCAGAAAGCTCTGCTTCCAACTGTTGCAGGTTGGCTCACATTGAACCAACCCTCCAGCAGAAAACAATTCTAAACTCTGGCCAAAACATACAGAGAGCTACCTGAAGGCCCTGGAGAGCAGCTGACGTGACCGAGCTGCACGTGGAAATGCGGAGTACCGCTCACCGCGCTGCTTCCTGTCGGCCTTTAGCCCCGAGCGAGCCGCCGCTGCAATCATGCTGAGTGGCTCCAATTTGGAATCAACCTAGGGTCTTGCTGGGTTTTGAACCAGAAAACAGCGTCAATGACCAGCACCGCATCGGAAAGTCAGGAGGGAAAGCCCACACCGAGAGGCAAAGAGGAGGCTCTGTGAACATTCTCTGCCAACCTCTGGCTGACCCCACGACGGCTGCGCGGAGCAGACAGCAAAAGCCCAGCCGAGAGGAGACCGAAGGGTCCAGGTGTTAGTGAACTCCCCGGGAAGGCACAGATAAGAGGCTGAATGTAGCCAAGTAAACTGGCTGCTAAAAACAAAATTCTCCAGAGGAACGTAACAGAGTCCCGTCTCCACAACACAAAATTTACTACTGGAATATCCAGGACAAATTCCCCAAATTCCCAGACATGGGGGGCAGGGGGTGGGGGAGGGGGAAGCAGGGACCAGGAAACTGTGATCCACATTCAAGAAAAAAGGTACTCAATAAAGACCAAACTTGCCGAAACCGGTTTGGCTCAGTGGATAGAGCGTCGGCCTGCGGACTGAAGGGTCCCAGGTTCGATTCCGGTCAAGGGCATGTACCTGGGTTGCGGGCATATCCCCAGTAGGGAGTGTGCAGGAGGCAGCTGATCGATGTTTCTCTCTCATCGATGTTTCTAACTCTCTATCTCTCTCCCTTCCTCTCTGTAAAAAATCAATAATAAAATATATTTTAAAAAAAAAATAAAATAAAGACCAAACTTGAGATGATCTAAATGTTGGAATTAGCAGGTAAAAATTTCAAAGCCATTTACATAAAACCAGTGTTTGAGAATATAAAAGAAAATATACTCATAATGAATGAAAACACAGAAAATCTCAGTGGAAAGCTAGAAGCTATGGCAATGTATCGTGTTTTTAGTGTATGTCAAAATATGATGTATGACAGATATAACAAAGAACAGGAGAGAAGAATTGGAAAAACACTGTTGCAAAGTCCTTACACTTTATGTGAATTAGTACAGTATTACTTAAAGGTAGATTCTAATTAATTAAAGATGGATAACGGAATAAAAATGCTCAATTTATCCAAATTTCTTGAAATTTATGCAAATTCTACAGGAAAAATATCAGGGGGAGAGGTAGGTGGACAGAGAAGAAAAAAGGGGGCATACTCCACAAAGGCAAAGCTCCCATTTTGCTTAAAAATGTTACTCATGGTACAAAATTACAATTTTAGCATCTTAATAAGAACATGAATTAAGTAAAAGAAAACAAAACAACAAAATGAGATGAAAAATAATATAAAAGACAAAAGAAAACTCCATTATAGAAGTAACAAAGTAGACACAGCAAGGAAGAGAATACACCTGGGAGAGAAGCAAATTACAGGAATGGATAAAAGAGCAAAGGTGATCATTGTGAATACAGAGGGAAAAGGCAGAGAATAAAGTGAACTGAAAGAATTTAATCGATACGGAAGACAAGACAATCCAACATGAGGATAATTTGTGTCACTGAAGTTAAAAATCTGAAAAATGGATCAGAAGATATCCAAAGCTATGTAATATTACTGCAAAAAAAAAAAAAAAAAAAAAAAAACACACAAAACAATCCTTGACATAAAGAAATAATTAAATTTACAGATTGAAAATAAACCGTGTTTTGGTACAAAAAGCTCAACACCAAGACAAACCCTAGGCATACAGTCACCTCCAGGGTAACCGTTACAACCAGCTAGAAAGTTAAGCAGATTTGGGACCAGAAAGCAATGCACGCGAGTCTATGATGTTCTGAAGGGGAAAGTGTGACCCGAACATGACATGCAGCCGATAGACAGATACATCCCTTTTCCTCAGCTCCATTTCAACTCTACTCTTCTGACGCACTCAATGAGATAGCACGTGTGTGAGCCCATTTTACAAATGCATTTTTTCTATCTGCCCCTCCTTCGCACAGACTTGCACGGAAAGATGCCAGGATTAACACTGAGAGTGGTTATCTTTTCACGGTGGGAGGACTGGTTTGATCCTTTTCTTTGTCTTTTTATTCCCCTGCAACTGTGCCTGCCTCGCATGACTGTGGTGAGAATGAAAAAAAGACTAGTGCCGGTTGTGGAACAAATGTTCATGAACAGGGTCAACTGTGATGGTTACAAAACGGGCACATGAACTTCTTTGTGATGTAAACCCTCTCTGGTCAGGCTAGACACCACCTCACCCCCCACTGAGCTAACTGCACAGCCTGCCAGGGCCTGGGGCTGGAAGGCTCATGCCCTCGGTCTCCGGGCTCCGTCACAGCCCCCTGTGAACCCTGGTCCTGCAGAGGCGCCTCCTAGCTCGTTCCTCCCTCCTCCCTCCTCCCCCTGTGAACCCTGGTCCTGCAGAGGCGCCTCCTAGCTCGGCCCCCCTTCCTCCTTCCTCCCCCTGTGAACACCATGACATGTTCATTTCTCGGGGGCATATACTGTAAATAGTTTGCTTTAGAGCTGAATAGTTTAACTCTCAACTCCACCACAAACTAGCACTGCAAGTCCAAGTTTTCTCACCTGAAAATGAGATCATAAAACCGCCTCACAAAGCTATTGAGAGAAATGAAATTTTACATTAAAGTTTCTAAAGTATCTACACAGAGCACAATAAACACAGGGTGTCCCAAAATGTACCCACACTCTGAGGAATTATTAACTCCAATGGGTTAAATCTGAAAAGAAAGAAGCACCAATTGAGCTGTCAGCTGTTCAAGTGTGTGTACATTTTTGGGACACCCTGTAGTTGCTTTTGAGTATTACTTCTTCTTCATGTGACTTATTGTATCTCACCTGCCCTACTTAATATTCACACAATATACCTGCCCTATATTAATGCGTGCGCACACACACACACACATTTTTAAAAATATATTTTTTGTTGATTTCAGAGAGGAAGGGAAAGGGATAGAGAGAGATAGAAACATCAATGATGAGAGAGAGTCATTGCTCGGCTGCCTCCTGCACGCCCCACACCAGGGATCAAGCCTGCAACCCGGGCCTGTGCCCTGACTGGGAACTGAACTGTGACCTCCTGGTTCATGGGTGGATGCTCAACCACTGAGCCACACCGGCCAGGCCACACACACACTTCTTAAACACAGTGTGTTACTTGGTGTTGCACCCAGCGAAGGGCCTAGAACAGGACCTGCATCGTAACTGGATGTGAGGGACGGAAGGGTCCTTGGAAGATTTCCTGTCTAGTTAATTCCCAAGCCAGGGGCCTGTAAAAGCAGAGCCTGGAGTCCGCCATAAGCGCTCGTGGTTAGAGACCGAGCTGAACTCAGAACTGTCATGTGAAGCTTGCCAGCGAGGCAGAGCGAAGCAGAAGATGCCGGGAATACCTGCTGTGCGGAATTAAGCTGAAGCCGGACAGCGACAAGCCCTCTTGAGTGAGCCAATCACAGGCGGTAAACTGAGGCAAGACACCACTGGCCTCAGGGGAGCACAGGGCCTCAAGGGGGCATCTCCGCTGGCACCCCTCATCGCGTGCTCTCAGAGCCAGCCAGCAGGGGACAGCTCTGGGCGCTGCTGACGTGGCTGAGATAAAGGAAGGAAAACTTGCCTGGCCTGCGTTGCTCAGTGTTTAAATGTCCACCTGTGAACCAGGAGGTCACGGTTGATTCCCAGTCAGGCACGTGCCTGGGTTGGGGGCTCGATCCCCAGTGGGGGGCATGCAGGAGGCGGCCGGTCAATGATTCTCTCTCATCACTGATGTTTCTCTCTCTCCCCCCCCCCTCCCTTTATCTCTGAGATCAATAAAATATGTTTTTTTAAAAAGGAGCGCTTTTCCTTCTCCAGGTTATCAGCCTGCATAAGCCTGGCTGTGCACAACCAACATAAATGACTCAACTGTTTGCCCTTTTATAGTGAGATTCTCCCCACCACTAAGAAATAACATGTTCATTGTCAAAAACTTTTGAAAATAAGGAAGCAGCAAAAGAAAGAACCGAACAGCACCCGGAGACAGATCACTTAAGGACAATCTGTATTTTGGAATTTCTTTCCAACAATTTGCTGATATTCCACAGACGTTTTCCATGTTCCCGTGACCTTCGTGGAAAGCGGCACCGCACTGGGCGGATGCGCTGTGGCTCACTCACCCTTCCTCCTGCTGGACATGCGTTACTCTCATGCTGCACGATCCCAGGCCTCCTCTGGGGATAACGCACTTTCCATAAACCATTTCCTCAGGGGAGGTCCACAGACGGGGACCTGCCTGCCCAGGCTACTGAAACCTTAGCCCTATACTTAAAAATACATACCTTGATCTCCCAAATAATACTTGAGGTTTAAGTTATTATTTATACTGAGGCTCTTCAAAAAGGCATTATAATCCACTGAGGCATCCGTATTAATGCTGTAGCGTTCTGCAAACCTAAAAGAGAAACATGCCTTAGTGAACAGCAGCTGTGACAGACTACAGATGAAGCACGTTTGTCGCTAAGGCATCGTACACACTAGGGGTGGTGTTCACTCTAATGGTGTTTCTAGCTACACTGGAGTTACACGTGCAGCCAGGAAATGTTACCCCTCCTTAAAGACACAGGTACTTCTGAGCAGAGCCCTTCACTTTGTTTATAGGTGGATGTGCATGGAGTCTAATGGGACAGGTGCACGTGGAGGCCCACGGGGCGGGAGCACGTGGAGGCCAACGGGACGGGCGCACGTGGAGGCCAACGGGGCAGGCGCACGTGGAGGCCAACGGGGCGGGAGCACGTGGAGGCCCACGGGACGGGCGCACGTGGAGGCCAACGGGGCAGGCGCACGTGGAGGCCAACGGGGCGGGAGCACGTGGAGGCCAACGGGGCGGGAGCACGTGGAGGCCCACGGGACGGGCGCACGTGGAGGCCAACAGGGCAGGATCGCCTCGGGACCCACCCTGGGGAAGGCTCTGCCTGGGACGCCTATGGGGCCATCTTTCTGTGGCAGGAGGAGGTGCGGCCAGGGTGTGTGCTGCCTGGGAGCCACGCCGGCACTCTGAGCAAAAGCAGGCTCTACTTTCTGCCGGGAGCCGGTCCATGCTTGCTGTTTCAAGGGACCTGGCATATATGGCATACTGTTCTTAATATGTTTGCTCACCTTCTTGGCACTATGTGTTTTAACCAAGGTCACCTCTCTGAGAAAGGTTTTTTCCCCAGGTAGGGATTTTCCCCTGAAGTTAGGGTGGGAATAAAACCTCGTAACTAAGTGCCAGGCGGGTAATTAATCACTTTAACTATGAACAATCATGCTTAAGCTACATAATCTTTACTCCCTGGAATGGAGATAAGAAACGCCCTAACCTTTGGAATAGAGATTGATAGGATTGGAATCAACTGGTACAAATACAGATGTAACAACACAGAACTTAGAAGACAGAACTTAGAAGACAGAACCTACACAGAGTCTAGAGACAGAAGAACTTCGCTGGAGAGAACATGGCAAAAGATCCTGGACTGAACCTGACTACAGAAATTGGCAAGAGAACCTGACTAGAACCTGGTGACTGAACCTGGCTGGAGAACCTGGACAGAACCTGGCTGGAGAACCTAGCGAGGGAACATGGCTACAGAACCTGGCTGGAGAACCTGAAGAACCTAGCAAGAGAACATGGACACAGAACCTGGCTGGAGATCCTAAGCAGAACCTCTCTGGAGATCCAGACCAGAACTTGGCTGGAGATCCTGGCTGGAGATCCTGGCTAAGCTGCTGATCAACTGAACGCTGTCTCCGTGTCATTCCTTCTTCGCCGACTCCATCCACACCTTTGGGGACCCCTGGACCTGCTGGGGCAGGACCCCAGCAACTTTCCTGTCATAATTGGGGGGAACGGAGCTGGGCCAGAAGATAGTTCCTCTGGTTAAAATGTCAGTAATCAGAGAGCCTAGAGCTGGGTGCAGGGAGAGCATGCCCATCACCTTGACCAAGCGTGTCCTTTCACCAGAGACACTGAGGCCAGCAGGACATACTGTTTCAAGCCGTTAATTGCAGCAGGGCTGTGTGTGGCGGGGGGAGTACTTTTCTTGGCACATGCTATGATTTCTATATATAGAGAAAATTTTAATCATAACCAATGTTTCTCCCTGAAATATATGGAGATGCGCTATTTTTTAAGTTAAGATAAATAGGATGTTTAGAATTTTTTTCCAGTTATTCCAGTGTGTCACCTGATATATAGTTTTCTAGATAATTTCTGCGTTGTTACATTTATTTAAAAATGACAGGTTTTAAAGGTTTGGTTACTTTATCTCCGTATGTGTTGGTTTCTATAATTATCTCATCTCATGCTGCTTTCTACAAATTTAGTAATTATCACTTAAAGTATTTATTTTTCTGTTTTCCAAATTTAGCAAAGAGTGATGTCATGCACTCATCCCCGCGCACACCTTTGTTCCCGCCGTGGTGAATCCTGCCTATTGTTCCACCAAGAAAATTATCCTGAGATCTGACAGCTGCCGGATGTAGCACTGAGGTCCCTGAACGCCCGCCCTCACCCACAGTCCGTCTCCTGCGAAGAAGGCTTGAGCTCGGGACCCCAGGAGGCGCCCCGAACGCTCCCTTTTTCAGTCGCCGAACTCTAGACAGTGCTGGCTGCCAGCTGCTACAGGGAAACGGGCGCAGGCAGCAATCTCCTCACAGCTCTCGCATTTGCTGTGAAAACAGCAACCCTTCAAACTGGCATTTGCTCCTAATGCCCACCCGGCCCGGTCTCAATGCCCGCGGCCCAGCTACTGGGCACAGACAGACAGAACCCACGGTGAGGCCTCCTCCAGAAAGCGCAGCCCCGCCCTGCCCGAGCGTGCGGTATCTCAGAAGATTTTTTGTGCTGATTTTGGGTTTTTGTAAATAAGAATAAAGGCCTGGGAGACAGAATCGCTCCTAAGATTATACAACCCAGGCCTCGTTCCCAGGGACCTGCACCCACACGTCCAGAGACCTCAGGCAGGTCAGTCTTGTGGGAAGGTCGACTGGAAGGGCAAAGGGAAAGATACCAACCGACCCCGCAGCCTCTCCAGGGCCACCGGCTGGACCTGAGCCTGGGGGCTCCCGGGCTGGCAGCCGACGGGCCAGGCGGCTGGTGAGGAGGGCGGAGGAGGGCTCTGTCTGTCTCCAGGCTGCGCATCAGTTATTTCACCTGCTTCCAGCACTGTGGCCTGTAAGGCAGCGGACGGGGGGCAAGATGGGGACGAAGAAAGAAAAGCCCGAGGATCTCGGGAGCCTCTGATGAGGTGTAAAACCTGGTGACCCCCCCCACCCCCCACCCCCCACCCCCGCTGGTTCGCGTCAGCTGGAGGGCATTCTGCAGCCCGCAGAGGGCTCTTTACCAAGGGGGGGCTAACGGAATCAACACGCTTAGGGCACGCGGCACGCTTTGTACAGAATCAATGCCTGGCGCGCTGGAATCCTCGCACCATCCCTGCCAGGCAGGCTCCTCGCCTCCGTGTATTCAAGAGGAAACTGAGTCTCCGAGAGGCCCAGAGCACAAACTGGACCCCGGGGGGCCTGACCCCAGGCCACGCCCACCACACCAAGCACTGAAGGCTGGAAGTAAATAGATTAAACAAAAAGGGGGATTCAAAAATGCACTGTGTCCTGCTCAAACGCGGAAAAGGCACCGTTAGTCCTGAAGCAGCCTCCGGGGAAGAGCATGTGCGTGAGTCACAGGAAAAGCACTGAGGCCGCTGAGGACATGGCGGCTTTGCCGGCCGCGCTCCATCCCCAGCGAAGGCAGTCCCCCTCCTCGGCCTCAGCAGGAAACAGCATTGTTTCTGAGGCTTAAAACATCTCAAAAAAAATGTGTGGAGTCCTTTATTATTCAGTGCTTGTGAGATGGGGAAGCAGACAGCAGCATTTTTTATAGATTTACTAGGTTGGAGACGGCTGTGCCAAACGCAAGGTTTATTGTCAAATAAAACAGTTCTGCTTTTTGATTGCCGGCTTTAAAGTGTTGCTTGTGTTCTATAATTGCGTGCACAAAATTATTTAATTTGTTTTGTTTGGATCTTATTCTGGACACTTTCCCAGCCGGGAAGATGTAAAAATTAAAACATCTATTATGGCTTTTATATTCTGAGGTGGGTGATAAAGCGGAAAAACGGAATTATTCAAAAGACTGGGAGATTTCCATTTTTAAAATGTCTCCTTGCTTTTCAGACCCTGTAGTGCCTGCGCCAGCCACACGCCCTCTTGACTTCCCCGCCACAGGAGCGCAGGCCTCCGCCTCCAACAGAGGCCACAATGTCTCGTTACTACTGCAAGGACGCCCTGGCCGGGCAGCTCAGTTGATTAGAGCTTCGTCCCCGTACACCAAGGTTTGGGGTTCGGTCCCCAGTTTGGGCACATACAAGAATCAAGCAATGAATGCATAAATAAGTGGGAAAACAAATCGGTCTCTCTCTGATTTTTTTTAAATTAAAAATACTGTGCAAGGAACCACAGCGAGCCACTTCCACAGCCACGTCAGTGTTGGGGTGAACCACTGAGCTTGGCACTCCCGTTGGTGGCCTGGAGGGTGTTGACAGAAGTGGGAAGGGGAGGAGCCGGAGAGCCTGGGGCTGAGCCCTCTATAAAGTTAAGCATGGGCCCTCCCAGCGGCTTCCATTCAAAACTCAAGTGGCCACTGAAGCAAGCAGCTGGCTGCCCCTGCATGACGCGAGTTTCCGGGAGGCTCTGGGAGAGCTTCCAAAGGCGGAGCAGCTCAAGTTCAGCCCCTCGCTGTCCCCTGCGGAGCGCCCCGACCCGGCAGGAGCAGTCCTCCGAGACAATGAACGGATCAGGATGGAGAGCCAGTCGGGAGCGTCAGCTCGTGAACAAATGTGGACAGTTTCCTTCTCCGGACCCCAGGCTGTGAGTGGCGTGAGCTGCAAGCACGGGGCTGGAGGGCGTGGTGCCAGCCGGGAGGAGCCAGGCAGCTGGGGCACCTTCACGGAGGTGCAGGGAGTCCCAGGCCAGCGACTCCCACCCTGGGTGCTGAAGGAGTGAGAGCCGTCAGCTCTCCCTTCGGAGACGGCAGGAGAGCCGCGTGAACGTGGGAGGATGGCGAACAGGGCCCCGTTTAGGAGCGTGGAGACGGGGGTGGGGGTGGGGGTGGGGGGAGGACAATGTGAGGATCCGAGGGACAGACAGGCCCCCTTTGGGAAATGTCCCGGGGCGCCCCCTCACTCACTTCCTGTACTCCTCCTCCGTCATCCGCAGGCAGAAGGTCTCCAGGACACGCCGCAGCTCCTTGGGCTGCATCCGGCCCGTCCTGTTCACGTCGATGAGGTGGAGGGCGCGGACCACGGCTTTAATGTTTGTATAAATCTGCGTATAAAAGCCATTTAGGGAACGTCAGAAGATCCAGTGCTGACAACCAAAATGGTAACGAGAAATGGGAATGCTGTTAAACGCTTCTTGTAAAAGAACACGTTTCAGAGGCTCGCAGCGATCGGTGCTGCAGAACGACATGTGAACGGGAGGAAGAACACTTGGCATTTCTCGAATGTTTTAAGGCAATTTTCTCTGTAAATGGTCTCAGTAAGTGTTTTGTTTTTTTCTTTTAACCCTCTTTCTGATGTGAAGCAGTAAGTCTCATGCACAATCCACCCCCTTGTAGGCCACAGGAAGCAGCGTCTTTGGTGCCCGACACCGGTAAACACAGTTCTGCCGCGCCTGCACATTACCGCTCTATTCCTCACAGCCACGTGCAAACTCTCTTACCAGGAGCGGAATGAAAACCATGACTGAACTTCCACCCCTCTGGTTTTTAAAAGACACCACAGCAAGGCCTTACAGAGGCCTTGAGTTCAGCAAGTGCGTGCTTACGTCACACACGTGAAGGGCATCGCAGGCCCGCGGAGACGCAGAGGCCGAGCTGAGCGCCTGCCCTTCAGCCACGTGTATTTAGAGGAAAGAGACACCCTTGGGCTCCGTGTGCCCAGCGCAGAGCCACGTGGCGGACTCGTGGGAGGTGGAGGACCGGTTCCCCTGTCAGATAAGACAGGTTCATGGAGGCCATGGGAGCCACCTGACAGCCCTGGCTAGTCGCTGACAATGCTGGGATTCGAACCCGTCGATGTAACACCCGCCCCGCAGAGGAGAGAAGGCACATAAAGCTGCCATGGGAACAAGAACCTGCCTCAAGGCGTCTGCAGGTTCTGTTCCTTGGCCTGGAACCTTCTGCCCAGGGAGCCTCCGGCTGCTCTCCACTGCACTTGGGTCTCGGCCCAAATGTCTTATCAAAATGGCCTCCCCTGGGCACGTGCATAAGATAGGAAGGACCCCACCCAACTTCCTCAAAGCACTTCTCGCCAACGAACACAGTGCTAATCGCCACTGTGTCTCCCCCGGAATGTCTGCTCCGAGAGCAGGCTCCGCTCACGGCTCCCGCACCTGCTTGGCGAAGGCCTCCCGGGAGCCTGGTCCCCTGCCTGCACCGCCCTGCAGGGCCCTCCCGCATGCAACAGCGTCACTGCACCACTGTCACCGGAATGGCAGTTACGTGGCAAGTCCTGTGAGGGTTCCACACACATCTCCGCTTCTAAGCACCAGAGAGACTGGCTGATAGGCTCAAACACCCAAAACTGGGGACGCCAAGCCAGGAGGAGGGGGCCCATGGCTGGGGGGGGGCAGTCCCCTCGGCTGCAGCACCTGGTCGGAAAGCACAGGCCCAGCCCCGGCCACATAAACCCTCCGCGCCTGGTCTGCGCCAGATCCCGCTCACCTCTCCGGCAGAACGGAGGGCAGGAGGCGATGTGCTTTTTAAAACCCAAAGCAACCCATATGGCTCTGCAGCGTGGAGCGCGGGGAGCAGCCAGGCTGGCACCGAGCCCCACCCACCCGGCGACGTCTCCAAGTCTCTTATCATTTGTCAGACGGGAGTTTGGCAGGATCTGCACTGAGCTGCAGATGGCGAGGCTTAGCAAAGGCGCCGGTGAGGCCATGCTGTCAAGATCGGTCCCGCACAGGGTAGGAGGGAAGCAAGGGGTGGAGGGGGCTAGCATGGGGGGGTTACAGTGGCCATGCCCCGGCCCCACTTCCCCACTGCCCTGGAGTGGGAGGAGGGTGGCGGGGGACGGTGAAGAGAGAATGAGGGTGGCGTGGGCAGCACTCCTTTCCAGGCCACTGGACATCAGCGTTCGGGTGTAACTGGGACAAGTCTGCAGCGAGAGCCAACTGTCTCGGAGCCTCCTGCATATATGCCCCCTCCCGACCCCTCCCATCACAGCCCCGGTTCTCTGTCTGCCGGCAGCCCCACGCGTTGATGGTGCAGAGCGATTGGGGCCGAAGCCAGCAGCGGGTGAGAGTGGGGCCGGTGCTGTCAGCGGGAGCGAGCACCAGCTGCTGCCCTGATCACCCCTCAGGAGCAGGGGGAGGTGGAGAAGCCCTCAGGGGTGATCAGGGGTGGCAGCCGCTGCTAGCACCCGCTGATGGAGCCAAGCGATTGGGCCCAGCGCCGGGCACCAGCAGTGGGTGCGAGTGGGGCTGGCGCCAGCTGCGGGTGCAAACACCGGGCAGGACTGCGGCACACGGGAGCAAAGAATTTTCAGTAACCGCCAGAGGCTCGCCCCGATGACAAGTACCGGTGCCCTGCCTTGGTCTGGCACCCCTGTTCGCCTGCTCACCATCCCGCAGCGGCCATCCCACCATGTTCTGCACACACCCCCTGGTGGTCAGTGTACGTCATAGCGACTGGTTGGTCTGGTTCTTTCATCATTCAGTCTATTTGCATATTAGCCTTTTATTATATGGGAAGGATTGCCTCTGGCTGCTTCCCCTGCACAGGCAGAGTTGAGTAGGTGGACAGAGCAGGCTGTCTGGTCTGTGAAATTAAAAATATTTACTATCTTTCCAAACAATATTCACGACCCGTCCCATGCTCTCCCCTGCGCCCCCGCTCATATCTGAGCGGTGTCAGGGCTTTCTGTGCACAAACACAAGGAGAAGCGCTGAGGCTTTACCAAGAAAACCAAACAACAGTTAAGGGGACTTCAAAGACCCAGGAAATGGGCCCAAGGCTCTGCAGAAGCCGCCCAACTGGCCAGCAATTTCTCTGCCAACCGCCTTCCCGCTGAGCCAGACCTGTCCCAGCCCATCCGGCAGCCGGGACCAGCCAGGAGCTGCTTCCCACTCCCGGGGCAGAACCAGCCCTGAAATGAGACTCGAATGCTCTGCACTGTTGCTCAGGTGACAATGGAACAGTGGCCTCGCCTTCCGTGTCCTCGTCTGTGAAGAGGGGCTGCACTGGGAGCTGTATCGCGTGGGGGGAGCAGTGAGCGCGGGCGCAGTGCCCCAGGGAACACACTCAGTCAACGCGCTGATGGACCTGCTGGTGGGCCAGAGGCTGCGGGCAGGGCAGGCAGGTTGGCCAGCGCCTGCGGAGAACAGTGCGCAGCGCAAGCCTGCGCACGCGGCCTCACACGTGCACCCACTGAGTGCGATGGCTTGACAAACTGCTCACGGTGGGTGTGGTTATGACTCCATAGCTCTCTGTCTACAATTCATTTTACAGCACTTAGACCTCCAAGAAGGAAAGCTGTGAACCCAAATTCCTATGAGCACCCCGATGTTAAAGGAGGTGAGAGGAGGCCTCACTGATGTGTCCGCCCTGAGGCCCGAAGGTCCACTCGGCCGCAGGCTCTCTGGCCAGCCCTTCCCCAGGGGGCACGGTTCTTCGTGCCAGACGGGACCCTGTGCTTAACTTCAACCTTCACAGCCGTGTCCTCCCTGCTCCTGCCCCGCTGACTTCTGTCCGGCTCCGCACCGCAGCCAACGCGTCCGCGCTGGTTTCGGCCATGGGGGGAGGGAGGCATCCCACGCCGCCTGGCCTGAGCCGAGGGCCTCCCCGCAGAGCACCTCCCCTCAGAGCACCGTCTCGGCGTCCCCTGCTCACCGCGCACCTGGCACCGCGGCTACCTTCATTTTAAACTTAAGGAGACATTTTTTAAATGAAACCATGAAAAAGGAGTTCTCTCACAATAAACACATCAGTGCTCATTTTCCTTATTATTCTACTTTTGGCTATTTCGTATAAAATCTTTAATTAAAGTTTTTCTTTGAAATTGTCATTATCAACCAGAAGAAAGGACGGGGGATGAAGGAAGCACAGCTGTGCAGACAGGAAGCCCATTCGGGACTAAATGGACCGGAACGGGGCGAGCGGCCTGCCTGCTACGCTCTGAGTCTGGCTCCGTATTCTCCCACACCGTCTAACTTGTCACTTTATATCAGTTCCATCTGTTTACGCTCTGCAGAGTATTGGCTTCCTACCGTGAACATTTCCTATTTACCAGCTGGTAGCGATGAGCCAAACCAGATAGGAAAAAATTAGAGCACATTCAGAACCTCATCAACACAAGCTCTCCATGTGGGGGCCGGTGGGCGGAGCGGCCGGCGGCGCCACCTCCGCCTCGGTGACACTGGCTCTCCCACCCTGGGGCTCCCACACACACGCCCAGGACAGCACACACTCCCTGCACGCGAGCATCACTGCCTCGACCGAGGCTGCACACGCTCACAGAGAGAGACCTCACACGAGACCGGTGAACACGGAGAAAAGGGGGCCGACCACAAGGTCAAGGCAACCTCAACATCAGAGCTGCTATCACGGAGCAAAAACCCAAAACTCCGGAGTGGGGTTTCCTTGCAGCCACAGTGGAAAGATCAACTTGCTGTTCTCTGAGCACAGGCCACGCAAACCTCCCACACGTTTGATTCACTGTTAAAATGCGTTCCTGCCACCTGCAGCTTAAGGACTTCTAGGAGAATCCCACCCACCATGCACCCGACAGCCAGGAAAACAAGCCGGAGGCTGCATACCAATAGCTGGGCTTTGGAGCAGCCAGATCTAGAAGGAAATTTCCCATCCCTCTTATCTTGCTCAGCCAGCCCACACCCACAGGCCGGCCACCCCGTCACCCGCCTCCAGCTCACGCCAGGGCAGAGCTGCACGCAGGGAAGGGCAAGCCACGCCCCTCCTAGGACCCCAGGTCTCCAGGCCCCAGCGGTGCTCAGATGTGGCTGATGGTGACGAGTGACAGGTCCCGTCTGGGTCTGGTGCGGGTGCCCTGCCTCCGCTGCCTTCCCATTGGATGTACCCGCTGCACTGCTGGCAGCACCTCCTAACACCTCCTGCCCATGCCACTCCCACCCGAAACCTTCAATGAACCACCCCACCCCACACCTTGTCCGACATCAGGGTTAATGCCCGGCCTGGGATCCTTCCATCCTCCTCTCCAGCCTGCCTCTCTGGGGTGACCGGCCCATCCTGCCTCTCCAGGGTGACCGGCCCATCCTGCCTCTCCGGGGTGACCGGCCCATCCTGCCTCTCCGGGGTGACCGGCCCATCCTGCCTCTCCGGGGTGACCGGCCCATCCTGCCTCTCCGGGGTGACCGGCCCGGCCTGCCTCTCCGGGGTGACCGGCCCAGCCTGCCTCTCCGGGGTGACCGGCCCATCCTGCCTCTCCGGGGTGACCGGCCCGGCCTGCCTCTCCGGGGTCACCGGCCCGGCCTGCCTCTCCGGGGTCACCGGCCCGGCCCATCCTGCCTCTCCGGGGTGACCGGCCCATCCTGCCTCTCCGGGGTGACCGGCAAGGCCTGCCTCTCCGGGGTCACCGGCCTGGCCTGCCTCTCCGGGGTCACCGGCCCGGCCTGCCTCTCCGGGGTGACCGGCCCGGCCTGCCTAAGGAGACAGAGCTCCCCACAGGGCAGACACAGGGCTCTGCCACACAGCCACGGCCCCACTGCCAGGGCCCCCCTCTCCCCAGACTCAGTCCTGAAAGCTACCCCGCAGGCCCCTCGCCGTCCTCCACACTGAAACGCGCCCCCCCCCACAGCCCACCTGGAGCTCCCACCTCCGCTCTCCCGGAGTTCCCCGCTGCCCCGCCCGGCCCGGAGAGCGGCCCTGCAGAGCTGCGCTTTTCACCAGGAAACAGCCCGAGCTCACATCAGGCACCAGGACCCGCCCACGGCACTGAAGCTCAGCTGGCGCCGGACAGAGAAGGTGCCCCTCCCAGGAAATCCCAGGATGGCCTGGGTGTTAAAGAAATGCACAACTGTAGCGCGGGCGGTGCGGCTCAGTGGTTAAGTGTCGACCTACGAACCAAGAAGTGACAGTTCGAGTCCTGGTCAGGGCACATGCCCAGGCTGTGGGCTCGATCCCCACTGGGGGGCGTGCAGGAGGCAGCTGATCAATGATTCTCTCATCGTTGATGTTTCTCTCTCCTCCCTCTCCCTTCCTCTCTGAAATCAGGATATTAAATATATAAATTACTTTATATCTATAAAGTAACACACAATTTAGACAGTGAAGTCAGGAAACACCTCCCCGGGAGCTCTTGGCGCCCGCCGTGAGCCCACACCCAACCACGTGGCGTCTCCCCAGGACCCGCTCAGAGCCCCAGAGACAGACTGAATGTGGGTGCCATCAGCATCCGACCTCCTTACCCTCCCACTCTGTGGCTTTAAACCATAAATGGCCACCATTTAACTGTCCGCATGAGAACTCGCGTCTCATCTCCTCCAAACGCAAATTCCTGTTTTTTTGAGTAACTTCCGGCGTTCTGGTGAGTTCCTTTCATAGTGACTCACACAGAATCTCAGCAAGGCCTTGCGATGCTGTCCCCGCTCTCACAGCCCAGGAAACAGTGGCAGCGACGCATGTGCGCGGGCCGCTCAGGTGAGAGCCGCTCAGCCGCACACCCCGCGAGGCAGGTCCGGGGGTTCCCACCTGCTCCCCGGCCCCGCACCGCTTTAAACACTCACCCTATAAGTGTATCTGTGCGTGGATTTGCCACACACAGGGAAACTTTATTTTTAAGAAAATAAAAAGATAAACTTAGTCTGAAATAATTCTGATATAACGGAATCCTTGCTTTCGCCTCCCGCCGGGGAGCCTTTGGTGAGTTAGGACTAGAGCAGCTGTTCTCAACCTGTGGGTGGCGACCCCTTTGGGGGTCGAACGACCCTTTCACAGGGGTCGCCTAAGACCATCGGAAAACACATACATAATTACATATTGTTTTTGTGATTAATCACTGCTTTAATTATGTTCAATTTATAACAATGAAAATACATCCTGCATATCAGATATTTACATGACGATTCATAACAGTAGCAACATTACAGTTATGAAGTAGCAACGACAATGATGTTATGGTTGGGGGTCCCCACAACATGAGGAGCTGTATGAAAGGCCGCGGCGTTAGGAAGGTTGAGAACCACTGTCCTAGAGCAGCCACAGAGGTCCTGGAGGAGGAGTGTTTGCGGCATAATTTTCACAGTGGGAGTGCCTGGGAGGTGGCATTCTCTGGATCACACGTGAGCGCCGTCTCCGTGCGGCGGGCGCAGGCGCACGCGGAGCTGTGACACTTGTGATTGACAGGCTTCTCCTCGGGAGCACAGCGCCGCTGAGCAATCTGTCCCAACAGCTCTGCGATATGCTAATTCCCTTCAGGTGAGCCAGGAGATGTGTTCAAATATCTGCCGCAGAGCAGCCCACACCGGCAGCGCCGGCCGAGCGGGCGGGGATCGGGATCGGGATCGGGAGAGGCCGTGAGGCACCGGGAGCCTGCGCCCGGCTAAGGGCCTCGCTCGGGGCGGCCGGGCGGCGCTCAGGCGATGCGCTGCGATCATGGCGAGGCACGTGTACAAAGTGGCTGTGGTTCACTGTTTCTTTATTCCTCAAGCCGTAATTTTTAAAAGCCTTTTTAGGAAAATCCACCTTTTTCAGAAAGTGAACCTACCATCACTTGTGTCTTTTCTTCTGGGGTATCACGGACCAAGCAAGCAGCGCAGCGCCTCTACTTCCCTCCTGACGCTTCTGAGACGCCTGAGGCGGCCAGGGTGCCCACGAACACGCAGCTAGACCACGGGGTGGGGGCCCGACAGACACACTGGTCACGCGGCCGGTAGACCAGATGTTCGGACATCATGGCACCGGGCTGGGAACAGCTCTCTGATCAGGGTTACGCGGCACAGAGCACACAGCCTGGGCCTTTCTCTCCTATGTGTTAACTGAGTTCGACGCTCTTGAACTCTGGTCCTTGCTCTAGAACAGTTTTGTCTTTGGTTTTTTTAGTGTTTTGTGTTTTTTTTGGGGGGGGGGGGGGGGCATGCGCCGGGCTCCTCTGCAGGCCTGGGAGCGCCGTCTCTGACGTGGTTACCACGAGCGCATCCAAGGAGCCGCCAGACGAGCTGCTCTTTCTTCGCCAGCCTCTCCTCGCTTCCACCTTCCCCTCAAGCGGGGGGTTGACCAAAGGTAAACAGAGAAAGACCAAAAGGTGGTTCGCCTGGCAACACACGGACGCTTGCCCTTCGTCCTTTCCGTCCTGAAGAAGGAAAAGCCCCGAGTCTGGGCCTCGGGCGGGGCCCCGCTCAGGGATGGAGCTGGGCCCCGGCAGGCGGGGGCCCAGGAGACTGAGGAGCTGGGAAGAGTGTGAGGGCTTGGTGCCCGGTCCGAGAGGAAAGGAAGGAAGACTCCCGAAGGCCCACTCTGAGCTGGGAGCAAAAACCCCGCCCAGAGTGTGGACCACTCGCTGGACAGGCCTCAGCTCCAGGGGCGCTGCTCCCAGCGAAGGGCGAGGAGCAGGTTTGCGTTCTCTGCCCCTGGGGGTCGGGGCGGGGGCTCAGTGCTGCCCTAACAACGGCAGCTGCGCGGTCCAAGCCCCCAGGGGCTCGCTGCGGGTACTCACGCCACGCCACACCACACGGCAGCACCTCAGGTGGGTGTGACTGTCCCCACTGACGATGAGGAAATGATGACAAGGACCTGCCCAGGCCTCAGCTGAAGTGGCAGACACCTGCCTGGTCCCACGCCCCCTGCCTGCCCAGGGCTGGGATCAAGGAAGAATCTGGGCCAGCAGTTCGAGCTGCCGAAGGCATGACAGACCCTGAGCTGCCCGGATGCAGGCTGAGCTCCACCCCGCTCCTCCCCTCTGACTGTCGCCTTTCTGTTCTCACCGCAAGAAGCTGATGAAAGCTGCAGGGGTTTAAACCGACTCAGCCCATGGGTGGGCCTCTCCCACCGCGGGGCACCGGGCAGGGCTGGGATTAGAACAGGATGGGGGCGAAGGACGGTCAGTGGGGAGTCCCCCTCAGCTCTCCATCACCCTCAGTAGCTTACGCCCCTCATGCCCACACCCTCCATGCTAACGCCGCGGCACGGTCCAGATCCACGGCGTCGTTATGTTGATACGAGTGTCATAAACAGTCAACTTTCCTGGGAGAATTTCATGATTAAACACTGTTTATAAAGACACAATTTAAAAAAGTAACCCGCCAATAACATCAGTCACGTGACGTGTTTCTTAAGGAAGAACAAAGGGACCGCCACGGAGGAAGCCAATGCGTATAGCAGGCGCCCGCCTCCCTGGAGCCCAGGGAGCTGGGTGTGAGGAGCAGACGATGTCCCACACGATCACGCGCAGATGCGCGGCCTGGCGCTCACGGCATCCGCCAGGAACATTCAGACACACATTTTGTGGATTTCTGGCTATTTTTGATATTCAAATGTATGAAAATCTCAGAAGACTTCAAAAAAGAAAGAAAATTTGTCACATTTCAAACCAACATATTGAATCAAATAAATTAAGCCATGATTCTCAAACTGCTCGTGCAACTGACAGGTTCAAATGCATTTTAAAAAGGGGTCCGATTCCAAGCCCCAAATGCCATGAACAGGCCCCCCTATCCCCGCCCCCCCACAAGCTGGGTGCCGTGACACCCACCGCAATCAGCAAACGGGGCGAAGCTACCGGCTCCTTCTCTAAGCGCAAGGCCGCTTCTGTGACTGACGCCCCCTTTGTGTATCTCCCTGAGTCCCCTGGTTGTTGGTAATGTGCACACATGATTGGCACTTACTGCTAAAAAGCGGTAGTTTTCTCTCTTTAAAGAAAACCCTGCTTCTGTCTGAGACAAAAACAGAAAGGGCGGCCCCACTAAAGGGCTTCTCGCGGGCGAGCGGGACGCTGTAAGATCTGTTTAGCCAACGGCTTTGACCTGGGAACGCAGACAAGCCCGTGGCTCAGGCTGCACGTCTCCCGCTGCTCACAGTGGCTGCTTTTAGGGGGGGTTGGGGGGGGGAGCATCTGACAAGCTCTCCATTACCTTCTCTCCTACGAGGGTTTCCAGCTCTTTCAGGGTCCGGCCGCCACTCACTTCGCCTCCACTGCACCTGAGGGACAAAAAGAAAAGCTTGTTGTTAAAATGTAGCAAGTCAATGTTGACATAGGGCATGCAGAGATCAAAATGAGAAGGGCTGCTCAACTGTGCGTTTTAATTTTTTATATTTTTATTGATTTCAGAGAGGAAGGGAGAGGGAGAGAGAGAGAAGCATTGATCGGCTGCCTCCTGCATGCCCCACACTGAGGATCAAGCCCGTAACCTAGGCATGTGCCCTTGACCGAAATAGAACCTGGGCCCCTTCAGTCCACAGGCCGACATTCTATCCACTGAGCAACACCAGCCAGGGCTGCCCTGTGCACTTTTTTTGAAATATATTTTATTGATTTTTACAGAGAGGAAGGGAGAGCGAGAGAGAAAAGCATCAATGATGGGAGAGCATCATCCATCGGCGGCCTCCTTCCGCCCCACACTGGGGACCAAGCCCACAGCCCAGGCCTGTGCCCTGACTGGGATCGAACTGTGACCTTCTGGTTCCTAGGTCCATGCGCAACCACTGAGCCACGCCGGCCGGGCACTAAATTCAATAGGGTCAAGTTCTACCAACACGTCTTCCAAATATATCTGTTGACATGATCAGTTCTAAGGACCCTGTCTTATCTCTTATCATTTTAAATTTCACATCTTCATATGAAGAACATTAAAAAAACACCACTTACCGCTTTATAAGATTTACATTTAGGTCCATCCCGCCAAACCTGGACAGGAACTGGAGGTACGGAACAGCGCCCGTGCTGGTGAGGTGGATCTGCATTCAAACAGGAAGGAGGACAGCCTGTTAGAGGACGCGGACCCAAGCCAGGGCAGCGCCAGCGGAGGCGGGATGTGGGTCGGACACAGCTGCTCAGACCAGGGGCTGGGTGACCCTCCTGCTCAGCAAACCAGGTGCAAACAACACGAATGCCAGTCTGTGCTAATTAAACGTCAGCACGCTGTCTACAACATCATCTACATCTAGATCTACCTAAAAAATAAAGCAAAAATATATTCTAATATGTTTATAGACGTGTGCTAATAAACATTACATATGTGTAATTAGAAATATGAAGGATTTGGTTCCCAAGGGGCTGAGGAACAGCACAGTGTTACCCCCTGAGTGCCAGCTAAACGCTGTGTACATCATACGCTCTTAAGGTAGAAAACATCATTCTTTTTTATATATATATATATCTTTTTATATATATTTTATTGATTTTTTTACAGAGAGGAAGGGAGAGGAATAGAGAGCTAGAAACATTGATGAGAGAGAAACATCCATCAGCTGCCTCCTGCACATCTCCTACTGGGGATGTGCCCGCAACCCAGGTACATGCCCTTGGCCGGAATCGAACCTGGGACCTTTCAGTCTGCAGGCCGACGCTCTATCCACTGAGCCAAACCGGTTTCGGCAAAACGTCATTCTTAAATTCAAAATTTTAGCAAAGACATTACTGGGTCAAGTGTGTCAACACTGTATGTTAACTTATGCCGGGGTCCAACCCCAGCAGGTCCAGGGGTCCCCAAAGGTGTGGATGGAGTCGGCGAAGAAGGAATGACACAGAGACAGCGTTCAGTTGATCAGCAGCCTAGCCAGGATCTCTAGCCAGGATCTCCAGCCAAGTTCTGGTCTGGATCTCCAGCGAAGTTCTGCTTAGGATCTCCAGCTAGGTTCTGTGTCCATGTTCTCTTGCTAGGTTCTCCAGGTTCTCCAGCCAGGTTCTGTAGCCATGTTCCCTCGCTAGGTTCTCCAGTCAGGTTCTGTCCAGGTTCTCCAGCCAGGTTCAGTCACCAGGTTCTAGTCAGGTTCTCTTGCCAATTTCTGTAGTCAGGTTCAGTCCAGGATCTTTTGCCATGTTCTCTCGCTAGGTTCTGTCTCTAGGTTCTGAGGCCAGTTTCTGTCCAGGATCTTTTGCCATGTTCTCTCCAGCGAAGTTCTTCTGTCTCTAGAGAACGTTCTGTGGAGGTTCTGTGCCTCCTGGTTCTGTCTCTCTTGGTCTGTATTCTAAGTTCTGTGTCCTAAGTTCTGAGTCTTGCTGTCTTGTTACAACTGTATTTATACCAGTTGATTCAATCCTATCAATCTCTATTACAAGGGTTAGGGCGTTTCTTATCTCCATTCCAGGGAGTAAAGATTATGTAGCTTAAGCATGATTGTTCATAATTAAAGTGATTAATTACCCACCTGGCACTTGTTAAGAGGTTTTATTCCCTCCCTAACTTCAGGGGAAAATCCCTACCTGGGGAAACAACCTTTCTCAGAGAGGAGACCTTGGTTAAAACACATAGTGCCAAGAAGGTGAGCAAACATATTAAGAACAGTATGCCATATATGCCAGGTCCCTTGAAACAGCAAGGATGGACCGGCTCCCGGCAAACTTATCCCTCCATGTTTAATTTACTGCTGTTGATAACTATACTATGATTATGTAAGAGGATAGTTCTTTGTCTACACACTGAAGTATTTAGAAAGAAAAAACCAAAAACATAAGCAACTTCTCAAATGGCTCAGAAAAAAAACATTATGTCTATTGTTGTGTGTGTCATGTATAGTACTGTTTACACACACACACACACACACAAGGAAAGGTCACAGGAGAAGCAGGTGAGGTCACGTGTTCACACTGGCACGTGGGGGGAGAGGGTACGGGCGCTGTTAGTGCCATTGGGGCCCACCCATCCTCTCCCTCTTCTGACAAACGCTCTGGAGTTTGAAAGTACTTCTAAGGAAAAAGGCCAATTTTTTAAAAAGTGAAAATAATTTTTCTCCCGGCCCCCAAAAGAATTATAAAACTAAAATGAAGATAAACACAATCATTATAAATGTTTTTATTCACGTACACGCAGTATGCAGAGCACACTTGCCCAGCGGCGACGGCTGCGGGTCTGCTCACGTGGCTTCGCATCCCCTCAGCCCTCAGGCGCCGATGGGGCCCAGCGCGGCCTGCTGGTCTCCCCAGCGGACACCTCCCTCCATTTCAGCACGTGCCCGAGAGGGCGCGGAGGGAGGGTCCCTTGTGCAGCTCTTCCCGGGAGGACCTGTGGCTTCTCACCTGATGGGCCTCTGAGTTGACCTAACTTGGGGTGGACACCTGTCGTACAGAAGGTGAGGACAGGGTCCCCACGCAGCTCCCCGGGGGCGCCTCGCGGCTGGTGGGGAGGGAGTGGATGAAGCGGGAAAGACGCCGGTGGAGCTCACACTCCCCAGCGGCTCGGGTGCCAGGCCCGGTGCCCATGGGAGTCCCCAGGCAGCCCGGGACCTCCTGCGGGGCTGACCTTGTGCGGCCTCCCCTCATGGCACTGCCATCAAGGGCCAGACAGCCCTGTGCTTCAGAGCCAGGCTCATCACACTACCCCCCCGCCGGGGAAGCAGCCAGGCCATGGGCCTCTGAGGCTTCTGGCACATTCCATGCTGTCCTGGCAGCCTACGGCAGAGGTGTCTGTGATGGCCAGCCCCGCGTCGAGACCTCAGACCCCACGGCGCTGTCCACAGGAGAGGCTCCGCTGGGAACTCGCCTTCCAATATTCGTGATTCCGGCAAAAACGTTCATGGATGAAAACCGTCCACCGGCCAGGGGCTGAGAGCAGTCTTGGATGGGCCGGGGTCGGCGGCTGGGAAATCAGTATCCCTCTGAAGCCAAGGGCTTCAGAGACGCCGCTCCCACCTGGCGAGCTGCTTCCATTCTCTGGAATCCATTTCCCACGCCAACTTCTTCCAAAACTGCTACATGAGCACTCAGGGACCGAGGCTGTATTCTTCCATTCGTATTCCTGTCAACAGAAACTCAGGTGCGGGCCTGATCACAACACCCGAAGTCAAACATGCTCAACATGGTTCTTAACATTAAAAATTGAATAGCAAGGCCTGGCTGCTGTGGCTCAGTGGATAGAGCATCGGCCTGCCGACTGAAGGGTCCCAGGTTCGAATCCAGTCAAGGGCACATGCCCAGGTTGTGGGCTCGATCCCCAGGAGGGGGTGTGCAGGAGGCAGCCGATCAATGATTCTCTCTCATCTTTGAAGATTCTATCTCTCTCCTCCTCCCTTCCTCTCTGAAATCAATTTATTGATAAATATATATATTTATTAAAACATATATTTTAAATTGAAGCTCAAGTAAATTCACTCTAACTGGGAAGTTCTTTCCTCATTTGAAGGGGGACGTTCCCATGAAATGTTTTACCAGTTGCACACGTTTCCCGTTAGCTGGCATTAGGTGTAGGAGAAGAATGGGTGTCCCACCACATGGACTCGTCAATAAAGATCGAGAAAAGCCTCACGCTCCCTGGACTTTGGGGCTGGGAAGAGAAGCCGCGCCCTTCACTCCGCTGACTCCAGCCTCCCCGATTCACACGCGTCACAGGAGCTCGTGGCTCTAGAAAAACACGCTTACCATTGAGGATAGACGGCTAGGACCTGTGTTGTTTTGGGGTTTTTTTAATCTTTGAAATTCAACATTTCTCAGTAACTTCTTTTAAAGACAGATGTAGCTTTTAAAAACAGATACACATTTCACATCTTCTGTGCTTTTCCTCTTCCTGCATAGCTGATTCGCATGGGAAGGTTGTCAAAATTTTAAATTAACATCAGATCATGAATATAGGAAACATGAACAGGAAATAATGTTTTTATTCTCCATTTGGTATAAAGTGTCAGTTCAATCAAGCCTATGAGAAAACAGATTTTCTGTTTGCAAGGACAAACGCTCTTTGAAAGTAAAAGAACATTATTAGCGTATGACACAGCAATTCCACTGCCAGGTGTGTACCCAAGAGGAGGGAAGACCCGTGTCCACACAGACACCTGTACATGAGCTGTCACAGCAGCACTGTTCACACAGGCCAAAGAGTGGAAGCAACGCCAAGGTCCATCGGCTGAAGACAGAAGGTGGCCTGTCCCTACAGTGGAACATTATTCGGCCATAAAAACAGGAAGTACTGATTCATGCGACAACACGGAGGAACCCTGAAAACATGTTAAATGAAGGAAGCCAGACACAGAATATCATATAATGTCCCGTTCCATTCAAAGGGAATGTCCAGAATAAGCAAATCTGTTGTGACAGAGTAGGCTAATGGTTGCCAGGGAGCGGGGACGGGAGAGAGGAGAGGCTGCTAAGGAATACGGAGTTTCTCTCTGAGGTGGTGGGATGTCCAGGAATTCGGAAGTAGTTGCACAACTCTGTGGTCATATTAAAAACCACTAACTTGTATATTTTTAAATGGTGAATTTGATAATATGTAAATTCTATCTTAATAACGCTTTTGTTTAACATGTAGGTACATATTAATTGACCATAAAGCTGTGGGTTCGTTTCTGGGCTCTCTCTTCTGTTCCATTGATCTCTATGCCTGTGTTTATGCCAGTGCCATGCTGTTTTGATTATTATGCCCTGGAAGTATAGTTTGACGTCAGGTAGCATAATTCCTTCAACTCTGTTGTTCTTTCTCAAGACTGCTGTGGCTCTTCAGGGTCTTTTGTGGCTCCATATAAATTTCTGTGGTATTTCCCTAGTTCTGTGAAATATGCCAATGGTATCTTGCTAGGAATTGCATCGAATCGATAGATTGCTTTGGGTAGTATGACTATTTAAAGATGTTAATTCTTCCTGTTCACGAACGAGGTACTAGTATATGCTTCCACTTACTTGTATCTTCTTTCATTTCTTCCTTCTGTGACTTAGAATTTTCTGAGTACAGGTCTTTTACATCCTTGGTTAAGTTTATTCTTAGGTATTTTCCCTAAGAATTTAGGTATTCTTGGGTGTTTCCCCTCAAGTTAAATGCCCCCTCCTCCTGAAAGCCCTCCTGGACTGCCACACCTCATTGTTAGGTAGTGTCCCCTCCTCTAACTCCCAACCACCCTGTAACTGCCTCTGTCTGGGGGCAACTATCAGCCCTTTCATAGCTCCCTCGCTGTTCAGGGATCCCCTCAAGGGTGGCCCACGTCTGGCTGCTCTGCACTGGGCCTAGCATATAGTAGATACTCAGTAACCCTGGGATGCAGGAACAAATGCCGAAATACCGATAGCCCCGACTTATGATGGTTTGTTTGACTTATGACTTTAGAGCTGTATGATGGTGCGAAAGCAATACACATTGAGCAGAAACTGTACTTTGAACTTTGCTCTTTTCCGGGGCCAGTGGCACTCTGGTGATGCTGGGCGGTGGCCGCAGCTCCCAGGCAGCCACGCGCTCACCAGGGTCAACAATCAACGCCGTTGGGTGTGCTCACTGTGCCGGCTGTGAGTGCCCGGAGCACGCTGCGTGGGCGGCCAGGCTGCGATGCTCCTCAGCGAGGTGTGTTAAATGCATTTTCTCCGGACATTTCCCACTGACCATGGGTTTATCAGGAGGCACACCCCTCGTAAGTCAAGGAGCATCTGTACTAAGTTCCAAAATGCAAGTTGAGCCCGGCCGGCGTGGCTCAGAGGTTGAGCGTCGACCTATGAACCAGGAGACGGTGGTTCCATTCCTGGTCAGAGCACGTACCCATGTGCGGGCTCAATCCCCCGTGCGGGGCGTGCAGGAGGCAGCCGATCAATGATTCTCTCTCACCATTGATGTTTCTCTCTCTCTTTCCCTCTCCCTTCCTCTCTGAAATCAATAAAAATATATTTTTAAAAATGCAAGTTGACCAAATGCTTTATACATTGGAAGCTTTACAAAACAAGGCAAGACAAACAAAAAACTAAAAGAAATTACTGTAACAGTGCCACGTGCAACATACAACCAAAGTGCATCCCAACTCTGCCCCAACGTGAGGAAGCGACGTGAAGAAAGAGCGCACGGCTCCCTGCCCCCGGGTGACGCGACCCTACCTCGGCCAGCACGTCCTGGAACTGCTCCCGGGTGAGAGCCAGCAGGAAGGAGCTGATGACCCTCCGCAGCTCGCTCCGGGACACCGTCATGCTGCAGCTGGGGTCCAGCAGCAGGAAGGCTTTCACCAGCTCGTCTCCTTTATCAGTAATCTTTTTAAACAAAATCCGTTTAACATCTAAGACGGACAGTATCGGATTTGCAACGGTTGTGGCTGTAAAAGAGAAACGGCTATTTATTAAACATGCTGAGAGCTAAGCGACCAAACCCTCCCCGCTGTGGCCGGGGACCAAGCCGCCTGTGAGACCTGTCTCTGGGGAATGACAGTGATAAGGACAGAGAAACACCCTGCAAAGAGCGCAGGTCATTACAGGTGGAAACAGGGTGTGGGAGTGAAACGTAGGAGTCAGTTCCTTTTAAATCGATCGCTAAACTACACTGAGTTTTCAACCCTCTGGCTCATTTTCGAGGGTAGAACGTGTAATTCTTGCATCTAGATCACATCCCTGTCGGAGACGAGGAGGAACTGAGAACAGGCACACCGAGGGGGGAGGGCTGAGCTCGAACATGCTTGGGGCCTGGCCTGACGGAGGGGCGTCCTGGCTGCAGCGCGTCAGTCCCTGGGTCCAGAGTCACAGAGGAGAGAGGGTACCGCACGGCCCTGCCTTTCCTCTGCCTACGATGGAAACTGCTGTAGTAACTGGTAGAAGTGACAGTAAATACACTAACTACAAATCAACTCACAGTGCCAACCAGCATCAGCCGGAAGATGTGGCTATTCTATTTTCTAGTTTATGACCGACCGGGGAAGAGGAAGCTAAGATCGCTGCAGTTTGCAAAACCTCTCTATTTACGAGGTTGCACAGGCTTGGTGACCGCAGGTAGTAACTGTGTCTTACGCGGTTAAACGTTTGTAGCATGGCCTGGTCACCCTCGTAAGATACCGCACCGGCTGCCATGCTGTGTGGAGTCACAAAGCCGCAGGTGGGTGCTCCGGGCATTTGCTCCCCTGGGAGGAGAGGACCGGCTGAGAGCCTGAGGGAGGGGAAGGGCTTAACCCTCCCACAGAGATGCTCACGGTGCAGCGTCGCCACGCGTGGACTTCCAGTCTCCACGGACTCACGTGGCACAGCCTGCAATTCCCTGTGGGCCCACACACACTGCTCTCCCTCTGCCCGCCCAGCCTGGAGTGCCAGCTGCACCCAGTGTCACAGAGGGACCCTCCTGGCCATTTACAGCTCCGTCCTGAAATCTTTCTTTCAGACTTTCATGGACATTTTTAGTTGCTTTCTGAGAAACCCATCTTTTCTGTCTTTTCTTTTTTAAATTTATTATTTTTTAAAATCTTTATTATTGAAAGTACTACATATGCCCCTTTTTTTTCTCCCATTGACCCCCTTCACCTGGGCCCCCGGTCTTCGCCGCCTTAGTGTCTGTGTTCGTGGGTTATGCACATACATATGCATACAAGTTCTTTGGTTGATCACTTCCCACCCGCACACCTTCCCTCCAAGATTCCACACTCTGCCCCATGCTTCCATGTCTCTGGATCCACTTCGTTCATCTATTTTGTGAATCAGATTCCACATCTGAGTGAGATAATGTGATACTTGTCTTTCTTGGACTGGCTTATTTCACTTATCATGATACTCTCCAGGTCCCTCCATGATGTCTCAAAGGGTAAGAGATCCTTCTTTTTTACTGCTGCATAGTATTCCATGGTGTAAATGTACCACAGCTTTTTTATCCACTTGTGTACTGATGGGCACTTGGGCTGTTTCCAGGTCTTAGCTATTGTAAATTGTGTTGCTATGAACATAGGGGTGCATGCATGCTTTCTAATTGGTGTTTCTGGAAACCCATCTTTTCAATCAATAATTCTAATTTAAAATTATTAGGAAAAAATAATTATTAGAATTATCAGAAAATATTAATTTGAAACCATGTGAAATTACTTAAAAGGGAAACCTTTTATTTCGCGTGCCCCTGCAACTTCTGAGATTTAAAATGAAAGCACTAACCAAACTTTGCATGACCTGCCAGTGAGAATGCAAATTAATTTCATCTTTCTGCATGGCAATTTGACAGAATTTTTTACATCTATCCAGAATAAAGTCACAACAGACTGTCCCTCTTCCTTCTAACAATGAGGAAAAAATGAGATAAGCTAAAAAAGGTGGCTTTAAAAGCCCATCAGAGAACTAAGGATGGAAAGAGATTAAATTCAAAAAGGATGGGCACTCGCAGAGACAGAAGACCCAGGACCCTCTCCCCCTGTGGAGCCCCAGGAAGAAAAGCCAAGCCGCGCTGAGCTGTGTGGTGCCCAGGGCACACAGGGCCTTCTGCTGGCACAGGGCAGCAGCTGACCCCCACGGAGGACAGAGCAGAGAGCTGAGGCAGTCCCTCCAGAGCCAGCGGGCCTTCACTGAGTGGACCTCGCAACCCATTGCAGACCTCGGGCAGGGTGGCCAGTGGCTGGGCCGGGGCAGAGAACACCCAGAACACTTCTGAAACTGGCAGGTGGGCTGAAAGCACAGAGCTCCCCAGTGGGTCAAGCTGGCAGCTGGGCTGTGGGACAGATCTCTGGAGTCTCCCTAGGGTTCAGATGTCAAGAGCTGTTGAAGGGAGACATCTGAAACCAGGGGTCCCCCAAATCTAACTGAAACCACAACCAGTCCAGCCCGACTGAGAGATTACACGTAGCAGCCATCTCACCAAAAGCCAGGAGAGAAGGCGCATTTCTTTAGCTGGTGGTGAATATTAGTTACTTCCATCTCTACTGTTTTTCACACAAATGTCTGGTCTTAAATCTTTTTTAAATTGCAAGACAAGTGAAATAAGGAAGAGCAAAAACAGTCATGAGAAGACCCACAGAGTGAACAGATATAGCCGTGATCAGGTGTTTAAACTAAGAATGGTAAATGTGTTAGAGACTAGAGGCCCAGTGCATGAAATTTGTGCACTCGGTGGTGGGGGGGGGGGAGTGTCCCTCAGCCCGGCTTGAGCCTTCTTGCAGTCCAGGAGCCCTCAGGGGCCTAAGCTGGCAGTCGGACATCCTTAGCGCTGCCATGGAGGCAGGAGAGGCTCCCGCCACCGCCGCTGCACTTGCCAACCATGAGCCCAGCTTCTGGCTGAGCAGCGCTCCCCATGTGGGAGCACACTGACCACCGGGGGGGCAGCTCCTGCATTGAGCGTCTGCCCCCTGGTGGTCAGTGCGCATCATAGCGACCGGTTGTTCCACCATTTGGTCGATTTGCGTATTAGCCTTTTTATTATATAGGATAACAGAAAAGTTGACACCATGTCAACACAGTGGGGTTTCAGCAGAGAAATGGAAACTTTTTAAGAAGTACATGAAAAAGCTAGAAAATAAAAATACAACATCAGAAGTGCAGAACTCATTTGATTTGCCTAATAGCAAACTGTACGTAGTAGAAGAAAGGACTAGTGAATATAGAATCAGGTCAGTAGAAATTGTTCAAATTGAAACAAACAAAAGGCAAAAAACATTCATGAAAGAACCAGGGTGTCTAGTATCTGTGGCTGCCAGGTTCACGTTTACCCCATGAATTCTGCTTATTTAATATACAAGTTAAACAAGTAATATCTACATATACATGTGCACGCATGAAAGCAAAGCCAGCCAAACAAGTAATAGTGACCACTCTTGGGGAGGAAAATGCTGTCGGGATGCACCATATAAATACCTATATGAACATACAAATATATACATATATATAATATATATAATTTTTATTTAAGAAAAAAAATTTTTAAATGCCATCACTAAAAATTAAAGGCAAATGACCAATGAAAAAAGACACTGATGGCACATCAGGCAGATGAAGGATTAATATCTTCATTACAGAGACAGCTCATAAAAATCACTAAAACCGCGTACTCATAGTGGGTACGTGAGCAAAGGGATGGAAAGGCAGGTTACAAAGGAAAACAACACAAGCCAGATGAACTCGAGATCAAAGCTGACCTCTACTATTAGAGACATGCCAATCAAATCACCACGGAGCACCGCGTCTGGACTTGCAAGGACAAGAGGTAAAGGGTGATATTCTGTCAGGATGCTTAGAATAAGCACCTTTAAACATTACCTGTGGGCGAACGGGTACAAGCGTCCTAAGGGCAATCCAGGAGCCTGAGCGCGGGAATGCCCTTTGACCCAGTGACCCCTTTGACCCAGTGACCCGCTCACTGCAGCCTTCCTGTACCATCAGCGCATTAGGGAAACCAAGCCACACCCAAAGGGCATTGTAGGCCTGGCGCTATTGGACTGGAACAGGCTCATTACTGATGAGACATTTCTGTGCTGGAAATTGCTAGTCAACCCTCGCTTCCCACTCTCCTTTTCCCCTAGAAACAGGAACCCTGAGATGTGGGCAGGCACGTGGCTGTCTGGCATAAAGTCTGTATTTCCCAGGCTCCCTAGTGGATGCATGTGACCATGTGATTAAAGTCTCGCTAACTGTGAGCGCACATAGGTGCCCACTGTGACTTCTGACTGCCTTTCTCCCACTCATGAGGCAAAATCAATCCCCCCCATCGTGTCCCCTCCGAGTCCTGCTCCTGGGCCGTGCGCTCACCGCTGCGTCCGTACGTCTGTCCCAGCACGTGTTCCTCACTACTGGAACGCCCCGTTTTCCTCCCTGGACTCCCCTCCAGGCGGGTCCTCCCTAGACCCACCTCCTTCTCCTTAGAACCTGGGACGGTTCTTGTCACACAGTAGGGCTCATAAAGTGTGTGAGAAGGGAGGAAGGGAGGGCTCATGCCACCACCCTGCCACTTAGAAACTGTAGCTGTGGGGAAGTGTCTCGGGTCCCCGTAAAGAGAAGAGGGACAATAACAGAACCCACTCCCTCGCTCTGCTGTGGGGACCCAGGCCCTGAAGCCCTCGGACAGAGTCCGGCACGCACCACACACAGTGGCAGCTGCTGTCAGTAGCATTTGCTCGCGAACACTCACTTGAGGAAGATCTGGACGTATTTTGGAAACCATTTCTTGAACAGGCTCTAAATGATGACGTACAGGGTCTTACATTTTTGAATTTTTGAACGTGAGGACACAGAGTATGCCAAACTGGTATGGTAGCCATTTTGGACGTTAAATCCCTGTGATAGAAGAGAAAACAGAGCACGTTACCTTCCAGCACACATCACAGATGCGCCAACCTCCCCTCCAGTCCGCCCCTGGCAGGACGGCGGGGGCTGTGAACACAGCCAGCTCTGACCTTGGCGCCCACGTCGCGAAGACTATTCTTAAAGTGAACACAAGACTGCGGTGTGGCTCTCCGTTTTTAGCAGATCCAATCATCTTCAAAAATGGAAAAAGGAAGCTGTTTGGACACGAACCCCCACCTGCATCCTGACTGGTGTGCGCCACTTTGTTCACGTAAAAAAGCACTCAGACCTGAAAGAGTTTTTGTGAGTTTATTTGAACCAAACTGTCGACAATTGCCAGGAAGCAGAATCTCCACGATGGGCTAATGCTCGGAAAATGGGAGCTTCTCACTGTTTGACACATGACAGTCAAAGGAGGAGACGTAGGTGGGTGATGTGAAATCCACTGGTGATGGACTGGGGGGGAGCCAAGCGGGGAAGCCTCTGAGATTGGATGACGAGGAAAAGGTTAGACACACACTTCGTTCCCTAGTGGGTGCAGGACAGTTATCAGTCACCAATAACACGGTAACAACAATGAAGGAATTTGCGGTCTGTCCTGGCGCCCAGGGCATGTCAGGAAAGATACCCGCCTAGGACGTGACTACTCACCATAACTGCTTCTAATTAAAGTTTTAATGTCAGACCATCCTTTGTGGTTACCTTGTGTCTTTGAGTTTGCAAGATCGCCTTCCCTGAACTGTCAGGTTAGCGTGCGGCTCCTTTTTCATCCACAACTGCTTTGGTGGCCATGAGGATGGAAAGTCTGGACTCTGAGCTTCTTTTTATTAAATGTATTGGTTGATATGATCACATAGGTTTCGGGTGTGGGTTCCTATGTTACCAGATCTGCATCTTGCCCTGTGTGCCACCGCCCTTGGACTGAGCTTCCTAAGCGCCTCACTGTGCACCCAGCACACAGTGAGGCAGAGCTGGCCTCTGAAAGCCTTCCCCTCCGTGAAACAGCGAGAAGCCAGCCAAAACGCCACAGTGAACTGTTTCAAAACTCTGCAGTTAACCAGAGGTTTGCAGCAATCTAGGGAGCATAGGTTCACGAAATCCGGCAGGATCTCTGTATGAACACAAGTTTGGGGCATTTTAACTTTCTCTGTTCCCATCTCCCGGCTCCCTTGAAATCAAGCGCCTGATCTCAGTGGAAACCCGGCAGCCAACAGCCACCGGCAGGAGCAGAGGGCTGGACCCCGTCAAGGCCCCATTACCAGAACATTCTCATTACCTGACACACTGTGGTTCCGGGAAGACTCCACTCACAGGCTGCTCTATGTTAACCAATTCAGAGTTCACCCAGGGAGAACAGGCTATTGTGAAAAGGTTTGTTGAAAAAACCAAAGATAATTATGTTTAAAACCTTAGCTGCCTGAGTAGGTGGGTAACAGGTGGAGTAAACAATAGACTAAAAGCTTAAAGCAGTGGTTCTCAACCTTGGCTGCACATTAGAATCACCTGGGAATCTTTTTTAAAATCCTGATTTCTGGGCCTCATCCTCCAGAAATTCTGTTTCTTTGTTACTAATGTTGTGGCCCCACCCCATAACAAAGAAACAGAATTTCCGGAGGATGAGGCCCAGAAATCAGGATTTTAAAAAGATCCCCAGGTGGAGAACCACTGGCTTAAAGGAAAGAGCTAGGGAATGGGATGGCGTAGGGGCTCTGAAAAGCATCCCCATATTCCTGGGATCTAATGGCACCCTCTTGTGCAGGGGTTGTGAGCCGGTCCAGGATAACGTGTTTACTCAGGGAAGACGGGGGAAGGCCCTAAACTCTCACCTCTGGCTGACCTTGAGGCTCTAGCCAAGGTCACAAGCAGGAAGTGAGGCTCAGGCAGAACTGTAAACTGCCTGGCTCAGGCTGAAGGCATGCCCCAGCACACACACACGAGAGCCCCTTGCAAAGATCGGAAGACTACTGTGTCCAGTTATTTGAAATAAAGACTTTATCATACAAACAAAAATTGAGGGAATTTGTCACCAGCAGACCTACTTGCAAGAAATCTTGTTAAAATAAAGTCTTCAAAAAGAAGGAAAAGTCCAAAGGGTCAGAAACTCAGATCTACAGAAAGAAAGGAAGAATATTAGAGAAAGAATAAATGAAGTAAAATAAACATCTATGCACCTAATAACAGAGCCGCACTCCACGTGAAGTAAAAACTGATGACAGGGAAAGGAGAAATGTACACTTTAACACTAACAGTGGAGACTTCAGCACCCACTTTTGATGATGGACAGGCCAACTAGAGAAGAGCAACAAGGAAACAGAAGACTTGAACAACGCGTCAACCAATTAGACGAAGAGACATGGAAAGAACAGTCACCTAACAGCAGCAGAACACGCATTCTTCCCAAGCACACATGGGGCACCCTCCGGGACAGGACGTAAAACAAGGCTCAATAAACTTAAAAGGATTGAAATAATCAATAGATGTTCTCCAACTACACTGAAATGAAAACAGAAATCAATAACAGAAAGAAATTAGATAACTAATAAACATGTAGAAATCAAATAATACACTCCTAATCAATGGGTCAAAAAAATAATCACAAGATAAATTAACAAATACTTTTACATGACTGATAATGAAGGCACAACATACAATATTTATGGGATGCAGATAAAGCAGTGCTTAGGGGTAAATTTACAGATATTAATGTCTACATTAAAGAAAAGAAAATCTCAATTGATGACCTAAACATCTTCCTTTAAAAGCTAGAAAAATAATATTAAATTAAACCCAAGTAGATTGAAGGGACTAATAAAGATTAGAGCAGAAATAAATAAAATTGAGAATAGAAAATAAAATGAAAAGCTGGTTCTTTGAAAAGATTGGCAAAACTCAAATTATTTAAATCATAAATGAAAGAGAGGGCATTACTACTGACCTTCCACAAACAAAAAGGATTGTAAGGAAATGTAAGTTGTATGCTAACAAAGTAGATAACGTCCATGAAATGGGAAAATTCTTAGAAAGACACAAACCACTGAAACTGACTACAGAAATAAAATATCTGAATAGCTCTGTAACAAGCAAAGAGACTGAGTTAGTAATCAAAAACTTATTGTGAAAATCCTAGGACCAGACAGGTTCACTGATAAATTCTATCAAACACTTAAAGAAGAAGAATTAAAAACAACCCTTCACAAACTCTTCCAAAAAACGAAAGAGGAGGGAACACTTCCCAACACACTGTATGAGGTCAGTATTACCCTGATACCAAACCAAAGACATCAAGAGAAAAAAAGCTAAGGACCAATTTTCCTTAGGAATATAGGAAAAATCTTCATCCAACATACTAACAAACTAATCCAGCAATATACAAAAAGAATGAAACAGCATGACTAAGTGGGATTTATCAAAGGAATGCAAGGATGTTTGCTCCATTTGTTATAAAAATTAATCAATGCAACATTAATAGAATCAAGGGGGGAAAATCATCTCAATGGGTGCAGAAAAGGCATTTCACAAAATCCTACATCCTTTCATGATAAAAACACTAGGAACAAACTAGGAACAGAAGGGAACTTCTTTGACCTGACAAAAGGCATTAATAAAAAAAAGAAATAGCTAACATCATACTTAATGGTAAAAATATATACTTTTTTTTTTTACCCTAAGATCAGAAACAAGATGAGGATGTCTGCTCTCACCACTTTTATTCAACACTAGTGGCCCAGTGCACGGATTTGTGCACATTGAAAGGAAATTAATTAGAAGGTGGCTGATGGGGCAGGACTCGATGAGACAGGCCAGACACACCCTGGAGCCACGCCTGCAGACTCTCCCTGGCTGGCCACACCTGGGGTGGTGCTGCAGCTTGAACATGGCGTCTGCAGAGTGAGCGGGCTCCCTCCAGCAGGTGGGATCCCTCAGCCGGGCCTGCAGGGATCGAGCTGAAACTGGCTCTCTGACATCCCCTGCGGGGTCCTGGAGTGTGAGAGGGTGCTCTGCGAAGTTGCTGTTGTACAGGGTGTCGGATGCAAACGCAAGTGTGCAGTAACCAGATTCGGGGCTGACAGTGCCCCAGCAACAACATAACCCACGGCCGAACGTGGAATCGCGCAGCTCCCTCCTCTCTGGTTCCAGGGTGCATCACCCGAGAACTGCTGCTGCCAAGTCACTGCAGCTCGGCAGCTCCTGCATTGAGCATCAGCTCCCTGCTGGTCAGTGCACGTACCTACCGGCCGGTCGGACAGTCACTTAGACTTTTATATATACAGATTGTGCTAAAGGTTCTAGCCAGAGCAATTAGGCAAGAAAATGAAATACAAAGGTACCAGGTTGGAGACTAATAAAAACTATCTCTATTTGCTAATGACATAATTTTGTATAATAAAAAACCCTACAGAAGACACACACGCCAAAAAAATACTATTAGAATAAACAACTACAGAAAGGTTATAGGATATAGGATCAATATACAAAAATCTATTGATTTTCTATATACCTGCAATAAACAATCTGAAAATAAAGTTAAGAGTACAATTCCATGCCCTAACCGGTTTGGCTCAATGGATAGAGCATTGGCCTACGGACTCAAGGGTCCCAGGTTCGATTCCGGTCAAGGGCATGTACCTTGGTTGCGGGCACATCCCCAGTGGGGAGGATGCAGGAGGCAGCTGGTTGATGTTTCTCTCTCATCAATGTTTCTAATTCTCTATCCCTCTCCCTTCTTCTCTGTAAAAAATCAGTAAAATATATTTTTTTTAAAAAAGAATACAATTCCATTTGAAGTAGGAAGCTGGGTCAGCAGCAGAAAGGATGGAGAGGTGGCTCAGGATTAACCCTTTGAGTGCCAACCAATATCCTAGGAACTATGCTAAAATTGCCAAGGCATTTTGAGTTAAGGTTTTTAAATTTTTTTCCCACATAAAGAGTGAACTACTGCCGAAACCGGTTTGGCTCAGTGGATAGAGCGTCGGCCTGTGGACTGAAGGATC